TAGCGTGATCCCAAAAGAACAATACAACTCATGTCCGTTTAAGTGCCTTTATAGTACGCTCAATTAAACACAAACTAAATCTTTAAGGCCAACATAAATCGTGAAATCCAAGTTGAAATGAAAGATATATTAGAGAATTCACGTTGTAGAGATCGATCGACTTGCCTGTTCAATGGTTTTACTCCTTTTCGGTGGCTTGGCGTCTTCGGGCTTGTTGTTGTAATCGTCTGCTTCTCTGCTGGCTTTCAGGATCACGTCACCGTGGCGAAATCTTCGGAACTTGGGAACAAGGGCCATTCTGCTGAAAAATATAAGAAAGAGAAAAAAAACAAGCAACAACTGCGCCTTCGAATCGGCGAACGTTTCCTTCCAAAATCACCCTCAACAGTCCGAATTCTACAACCCAAAGGATTATAGAACAACACTCTAATAATGACTGAAATAATAATCAAAATAATAGCTCAACTTCTAGTGTTTTCTGGCGTTTTTTCGTCTCAATATAACCAACAATCCTCAAGAATCAGTGAAATTCTCAAGAATAAAATTTTGAGTTTCGTGTTATGTTTCTATAGAAGATGTTTTGCCCATTAGCCAATGGCGTTGGATGAAATCATCCAACGCCATTGGTTAGTTAAAAAATAGACCAATCGCGTTGGACGATTTCATCCAACGCCATTGGTGCTTTTGTAGTTGACCAATCGCGTTGGAGGATTTCGTCCAACGCCATTGGTCCTTATAACCTCGAAAATTATACCATCCGCGGAAGGGGCTCAATCTTCTCTGTTTTATACACCTATTTCAAAAAACGTTGTCGTCACCACGACACAGTCCACAGTCTTGAGCCTGCAAAGGATCTCGGGGTTTCCATGCGTAATTAATATATTCAAAATATNAACTAGACGCATGCCTGCGTGAACTCGGGGTTCTTGTTGATAAAAATCTAGTAGTGAAACCGCAATATAAATCAACGTAAATTGTTATATCGATAGAGCCTGTACTCTTTCGTAGTTTCTTTGGGGCTCGATTACACTTCCGAATTTTGTGGAGCATCAAAATACGACTATAAGAKAAAACCCTACTTTGCATATATAGCAGCCAATAAATATCAGGCTTTATTTGTGAGATGTATCTTTTGTTTTATTAATTTTACTGATTTATKTTTACTAATTACATATTTSGAGTTTGTATAATCATTATAAACAATTATATTTTGCCAAACATTAGATATTTCAACTTAAAACATACATATTTTTCGTATAATAGTATAAATGAAAAGGAACTGTAACAAATTTGAAAATTTTGTTCAATATGACAAGCATGGCCATCGCTGCATGCATATTACTAAATAATTTTAAAGTCAAACATGGACTTTTGTTACTACCATTATCTAAAACATTTTTTAGATAATAGTTTTTCTACAATTTGTTCTTCATCCATGTTAATAAGAATGTCTCCTGTGATGAGTTTTGTCAGTATTTCATCTCCAAATGTAAGTGTCAATGCAATGTCACTGTTTTCTAGACGTAATCTTCCGCACTGCGCTGGAAGTTGTTACCGGGATTCTTCTTAAGCATTTTTTACACTTTAAAAAAAAACTTGTCAAAGGTTGGGATCGTCTGTACTTCTTTCACGATAACAGTGAGTTCATATGTTCTTTTTGCTTTATGGTGATTGCGTCTAAGTTCATCATGTTCTTTTAGTTGGCGGACTTCTGTTTTGTTGTCAATCGTCGATATTTTCTTTTAGTATTTCGCTAAACATGCACTCTACATATGCTCGTCGAAAATTGTGTAGTTTTGTGGCTTGACTGGCATCCTGCTCTTCTGTTGATGTGCCAGCAAGAGACGTTTTTTTTTGCGAATACAGCAGTTGCTTCACATGATGAATTCGTTTCGGATGTCTGTTAACGTTGTCCATTATGTTTGTTCTATTTCGTTTCACTGGTGAAACTTCATGAACGTAGCCAACGATTGGATCGTTCGTCGTTTTTTTCTGAGGACATGTTGCTGGTTTGATACTCCTGATTTTATTTAGTGTTTACATTGGCTGTCTTACCAACTGTCGCAGTTGGATGTCACAGTTGGGCCGGGTATCCTTACCTCTGAGGAAATAAGTGATAAACTATGGTGAGGCATTGTAAATTTTGATTGGTTCATGAATGCGTACTCTGATTGGTCTTTTTGGATCGATCCCGCTTCACCTCTTTCCAAGATAGTGATTGGTTAGTTAAAAGTATATAGGTAACCAATGAAAAGTCTCGTTTTGAAAAATAAAGATGGCGATGGTGAGATTTTTGTGTTTGATGAAGGTAAATTCTATWGKATATTTCGAATTATAGAAATAATTCCAAGTGATTTGTGTTGTAGATAGAAGTAAACAATGGCGTTGTAAATTGCGGGACGTAATTAGTATTCTGAGGATAAAAGTAAGAAGTGATCTCACAGTGCAATACTTACCGGTCTCTGTAACTGTGTAACTGCATTAATCCTGCGTTGTTCAATTTTGCAACTTATGAATTTACAGAGGTTTCTATAATTACATTATGTTTTCACTTAGTTGATAATCCATTTTGCATTCATTGAAAATATGCAAAAATACTGTACTTACCTTTGGGGGTCTTGGGTGAATGTATCAACAGACATTTGGTGTCTGTCAATTTCTCCCATTCTGTGTTAGGGAGTCAGGGAGCTATCAGAGGCTAATTATTAGTCGGACTAGCCAAAGGCTAGGTTGACTTAAGTTTTACCTTTTAGCCAATCTATCTATCTATGTGTCATGTCGCGTTTGGACCACCAGAAGTTAAGAATTTAATAATTAACTATTGGGTTGGCTATGTTATTACATGACTGGAAGCTCAAACGTATAGATCGTTAGTAAATGTCAGATTCTACTTGTGCTTTTATGTGATAAAAAAACTATTCATTTACAAATGTGGTATCAGTGATCTCATCGGAATGCATCAGTCTAGCCATCCAGAAGTATGCGCATGTGCGGATCGCATGGAGCTTCGAGTARTATGCTTACAGAACTGAATTCTAGCGCTAGACAGTCTTGTTTTTGGCAAAGATTTCAAATTAGAACAAGAACAAACAATAACAAAAAGGCGACTTTAATTATTTTATAGGCATATTTTTAAAAGTATTTATTTTCTTGGCCTGAGAGGTCAACAATTTGAATTAAAAACGTATTAGATRTGATATCACTTAGAGACATCTAGTCTACCGGGTATTAATTACATGACCTTTGAAGTCGTTGMAGAGAGCAGTAAMAAAGAATATCGTATCGTGTGAATAAATGGTCATGCATTCTTGCTATCACTATGTATTAGAAGTAAAAAATATAATATTCTATATGCCATGATATAMATTCAAAAACAGGTAGTCCGACTTCACGCTCCAAGAGCATCTAGTTTATCTATATTACTAAGTCAAATTACTTTGATAACTTTATGCTAGATTTATTTCTTGTTGTATAGTATTAGAGTTTCTAAGTGTCTGTCGGTGGTAAATTTATTATATATGCATGATACTGTGAGAAAAATGAATATTCATTTGAAAGTGAATGAAACTTTAATTGCTTCATGATCAGAGTAGTATACTGGTATTACTGAAGTACAAATATCACTTAAGTTCCATATATCCTTTCTTATATAAACATGGTCTAATAAACTTCCTGATATAAATGTAGGACCTTGAA